GCGGTTGTTGCGACCGAAATGTTCACGAAGCGCGCGAAACGTGTTTTTTATTTTTGCACCATTTTTGTACAACTAACAAAATGACATGTCGGTGACAGAAAACAAAGATGGCGTCTATGTCAAATTGACGTTTACTTTCCTGCGTCCCTATTGGACAACCCTTTACTTCCGATCCTCAGATAGTTGTAATACAGATGGCAGAAATGATGTACGAACTCGAAGCTGCGTTGGTTGGTGTTTGATTGCTCACGAGAGGGGTACTACTAGTGCTACCATTTATACACGATTAATTTTTACTAATATTGTACGATATTTGACAGGGTACAACCACAGTAACCCATTACAGTTCGAGTGCCAAAATGGAAGAGCATAACCCATCGTACACCACTGCTAACGAGAAACAAAAAGTTTATTTTTTGATTCAGAAATAGAAAGTCAATGTATGTTTTATTTCCTATTTCAGTCGTTCAAAAAGAAAACCTACTTCTTTCACTCCATCCTCCCATAGACCTCTTGATCTTCCTCCAGCAATGCGCCAACTTGGAGTACGCGCCTCTCCGCCCATACTCCTTCTCGTGCTGCGACCCGACTGTCGCAGTGCCCAACGTTGCTCTCTTGTCTGCATCCTTCGTCGTTGCTGCTCTCCTATTGGTCAACTCGGACATGGATACACTCAACGCGCGTTTCCGGGTGTTCGCCCGTTTTTCCGGGAATTTTCCGCACGTACACTCGCATTGGCGTTGGTCCGACGACGACGAGTACTTATTCATGTTCGTTGATGACGCGGAAAATTCGTAGTTTTTTATGTCGATAATGTGTTTCGGAGCCATTGTTTAGGTGCTATGTGGTGTTGATCACATGCGCTGTGTTTCGAAATTGTGCGAAGATCGATTTTTTAATTCATGACGTTCAAAATTTTCATTTTATATTATAGACTGAATCAGTAATAGTGTATATAAAATAATCCTTCAGATGTCGTATAATGTTATCAAGAGTACTACACAGCCGGTCATCATACGTAGTATAAAATAAATGGCAGCACTGGCTTGATGATGGCTACTCATCCGGACTGGTAACACCATTGATTACCATATCCTAACCAAGTAACACCAAGCTGGTCCTGCCATTTAAATTCCAATGTCCAGCTATGTAATACTCGTAACTTACTGCATATTATTGGTTGTTATCCTAGATTATATAACATTCTCGTAAGTAAAAATGAAATACAAATATATGACAAAATGAGAATGGTGTTGTTATTTTTGATATGATAAGTAATACATTATATATTCCATCAAGATAAATATAAATTATAATACCACTGTTAGCTTCAAATGAGTGAGCATCCAGAAATCCCATTATTGGATGGAATTCAGCAGAAAAACATTTGTTGTGCTTGATACAAAGTCCCAAATCGCAAGTTGAACCTTTCCGTAAGGTGCATGTGACTATATATATTTCATTGCAGATAAAAAGCCTGAATAATAAGCAAGCAGTATTTATGGTGGAAACGTCAGAATACCATCAGGGACCAAGTAAAGATCAGTAGGCTGTAAAGAGTTAAATAAGGAAATTTGCTGTACTCTAGTTGTAATTGTGTATGAACAGTAACATTTTTGAGTTTTTTAAAAAATGTTGGGACCGCGAGAAGAAAAATTAATTTATGTACATGCCAGATGATGAATTGCATAGCTACTGTCAAATGTTTGGTAGGTGGAAAAGTTATTACCAACACTGAAAAAATAATTCGTCTTTAAGTCAGTGTTTTTAAGAAACTTGTGTTTGAAACTAACGATATCTATGGAACCGCCTCATTGTATTTTATTTTAAGCATTAAATATTCTATATCTTTTGGTAGCATGATTCCGCCACAAACTGTTTTACCATTTTTCTCTCTCGACTAACAATTTGACGTATTTAATTAAATTTCTAAAGAAGGAACTTAAAACCATCTGTTATTAGATGCATATAATTTTAAATACCCCGTAAACGAACAATCATTATTATATTTATTAGAAAGATCAAGTGAGTGTAAATAATAATAATTGTGACCTGACTTATGACGTAATAATTTTATTTAAATTATAGGCTACAGTTGCAATAGTTCCTTTCATATAACATTTATTTCTCAAGCATAAACGAGCGACGTATTGTGATCAAAATATTTTCCAAATTCTAAATAATAGGTTCGTACGTTGTATATCACAAGCCGAATTAGAAAAAAAAAAAACTGTAAAAAGTAAAAATATGTTCAAATATAAATGTTACAAACCTACTTTCAAAATTTGTTGATATTTTTGCAAGTTGCGTCATTTGAAAATGTCATGTTTCTTTAGTTTCTCATGTCCTATAAAGTCTTGAATTGCCATTTTTTATGGGGCCAACTAATTGAAACCAACGTTGGCGCCAACATGGTATAATATGCTATGTTAGATCGAGAAAAAAAAACGGAGCAGTTGCACACTGGTCGGCGATTGGCCAACTTGTAGCATATGCTACAGGGTGCGTTTAATAAATAATTCCGTATGAGGTTTTTATTTTTATCTTCGAAGGTACCTTAAATATTAATTTTAATTTCATATGCCGTTCGATATACACTTTATCGATGTGATTACTATTTCAGCCTTTGTAGTTGTAGGAAAAGCTAGTAGGAAACCAGAAACTGGTATAAAAGACTGCTTAACATTTTGTGAATGCTTATCAAGTTTGTGAGTGCCACTTGGCACAAAAAGTTATAAATTACCTTTTTGTGAATAATCCCATAAGTCCTTAGCTCTTGCATTTTTAATATATTACCGCTGTTTTCTATCTGATTTAATTCATTTTGAGTATAGAGTTATTGCACAACGTATATATTTCACAAATCTACCTGGTGCGTCAGTTAAGTCATAACACCGCCCTTAATCAAAATACGAAATCGTTGGTTAAGCTAAAACATTTTTCAATTCGTAACTACATTTTTTTTCCCTGACAAGTTGTAAATTTTATTTTGTGGGGAATTATAGCTTGACTGGCGTTGCTTAACATTAGACAGCTAATTACTTATTATATGGCGCATGGACATAGCTACGAATACCACACGGTGTAAACGGGCACAGAACAGCATTTACGCATATAACTATGGTGGTCTGTGGCTAAACAGGCGCTAGGCTACTTACACCTACAGTGTAAGCACGGCTAATAAAGTTACCCCAAAAATACAGGGTGACTTCGAAGTTGAGTCATTTATTTTAACAGTGAGTAGATCTGATCAAAAGAAATTTTTTTTTCCTTTACCATTTTTCTGGTAAAATTAAAGTAACAAAGTTATAGCCCTTTGGAAGTTTGAGTACCGCCCTGTCTCAATAATATCATGTACTCGTGTTTGGCAACAACGGATATAATCCACCTTATCGGTTCATCGCATCGGAAACAAAAAAGCGAAAGAATTTGGAACGATGTTTATTCTTTTCAGTTCAGTTATACATACAGTCAGTGTCAGTCGCGTGTGAATAGTGTCTGTTGCGTGGCTCAAACCTAATAAAAAATGGCACATGTTTATGCGGATCGGTTTCCCAATCGAGTGCAACCAACCCCTCGTGCCTTTGTTAATGTAGTACAACGGGCTCGTGAATCAGGTGACTTCAGACCTCACAGGGGACCTCACGATCAAATACAGGTCCGCACTGAAATACTTGTCGGGAGGATACTTTATAAAACAAGGTAAACATTTTTTTTTATTTTTTTTTTTATTTTTACACACATATTTTGGTTTATCTTCCTTCTACAATCATTATCTGAAAATTAATGACTCAACTTCAAAGTCACCCTGTATATCTATACACTCTCGTATCGCAAATCAGTGCCTATCGTATTCGTTTTTGACCTGAATTTTTTTTGTTGCTGTATACCAAGTTGCTTATCTATACAGCGTTGGCTCAGTTATCATTGGTTGATTGTGGAAACCAGTTCCAACTAGCAACGCTGGCCAACCCCGACCAATGTGCATTGGTCTAGCATTCAGATATTGGTGTTGGCCTAAGTTAACCCAATATCTGCAAGATACAGAAAGGTGCGTAAAAAAATCATGAGATTATTCTCTCCACTATTCTAATACTTTAAAATGATTTCCAAAAAATTACGTTATTTTTCAGAAATTTGGATAAAAATGATAAACTAAAATCATCAATTCAAACTACTTTCAGATTGCTAATAATGATAAACAACACATCGTCACCTGAATGCAGAACTATTGTATGTCCAAATTCTTCATTTTTCAGATTTTAACACGACGTTGTAGGTCATAGTCACCTACATTGCATGCAGAGGTATTGTAAGTCCCTGCGCAAGCGTTCCCCCACCACTAGTCTTGAACCATATTTTGGCGTAATAGCTTGAGGCGCGTCATTTCGCTGCAGAACTATGATAAGAGCAGATGATCACTTACAGAATGACTGTAAGTCCAATGTCAGCAACAAATATAAGTCTACTTTCACGGACTAGTCATACTTTTTTTCCGGTAAAGCATTCTATACCTAAAATTTCTCAGAAATGTTAGGCAAGACACAAACACGAAAAATAGCTCTCCTGTAAAATATGCATTTTGTGACATATAATACTTCTGCATTCAAGCAACGACATGTTTTTTTTTAACTCTTAGCATTTCATGAGGACAAGTTTGAATTTTTGCATGCCAGCTTGGGGTAGTCGCACCGAACATTTTTTGCCTCATAATATATTTTTTTTGTTACACTGTTAATACTACTGAGACTGGTCCTTCATCTTATCTCCAAAGCAACGCGGCTTCTCAGTTAACAATAAAAAATGTCAAACTATTTTTAAACTAGAACAGATAATCCCTTAAATGTTTGAGTTTATGAAACGTACTTTTCTAAACGCATAAGCTTCATCTTTTATACTAGCACAATTGCACTTTAGGGGCCACTATCATCATAATACCATCACAATATCAGCACAGAGATCACAAATTATAATTTCGCGCGATATTAGCAACGCCAAATCTATTGAGAAAAACACGCCGGAGACAGATAATAAACACCAGTTATGACAATCAGTTGATGAATAACTACATTCTCGTCAATAAAAAATAATTCAGCGTATGTACAGGTGTTAGAATTGTTACTGAAGGTCAAGTTTAAACACGAACTAGTTTCAGTTGCAGACGAGGAAGCATGGTAAGAATTACTGATGTATAGATCGGTTTTTGCATCCGAGAATACATGTGGCACAGTGGCGTAGCATAATTTTATAACGCTCATTACACATCCTGTGGTTTCCAACGCAATCGTTTTTCCTATGATTTTGTCGTCATACAATAAAATAAAATGCTTTTCCACGAGCCTTGTAATCGTTTTTTAACTTCCCACGCACTTATATAAGAAAAACAATGTCACCCATTTTCTTCAGTCTGTCTGCTAATTTTTGACCCGTCTATATGCTCAAAGTCATGTCAGCGCTCGACCGCTCTCCGTTCGCGCTCATGCGCTTATAGCATGGCCCGATGTGGTTCATCAACGTTGCCAGATGCACTATACTTTCGGTAGGGCAGGAAAGAAATTTGTAGCGTTATCAAATGGACTAACTGACTTGAACCATTCAATTTTTGTTATACATGAACTTGTGCCTTAAAAAATTCTTATTTAGCTGCTAATGGTGTACTCGTGGGACCTGACAAATGGATTTGCAAACAAACAACTGAAGATAACAGATTATATATATGTACACATAATTAGGGTTCTGGTAGCAAAAATTACTATTTAGTTAATTCTTGAAAGTCAGTGTGGTTTTGCGGTTGTTGTGTGAACATGCTCGGCAGTGTAGTCCACTGTAAAACATGTTCAATTAAAAAAAATCCATCTTTGCTTGTGTATGACAAAATAATTTATGTTGCAAACCCAAAGTCTCCGTAGCCGCATTTAAAGTGAAATTATATTTTTCTTATTCTTTTCGGTCATTTTCGGTCAGTTAAGAAAAGATCCAAAATCATGACTGCTATATTACTTTGCTTTGCTTATTTTGGATGACATGGGGGGTAGGGGAGACTAGATGATGATTACGTCATCGGTAGTTATTTATTTTTTACACGAATGTCAACCCTCACATTGTCTTTGCTTGAAAACGAATCGCATTTTCGGGGATTCCCGCAAATAATGCATACATTTAGTGAACAGCGCGCGGTAATTCCCCTACTCGCTTTAGAACCGAGTAGGGGAATTACCGCGCTTGTCTAAATTTCCTCTATCAGTGTATTGTTTCGTTCGGATACTATAGCGAGCAGACGTATTGTAAGCATAGTAAAGCAATTTAACATTTATGTTACCATTGATTCCATTAGCCAAAGTTTAATGTTTAAATAAGATGTCGTTTCACATAGACAAATCCAAGTTATACCAAAAATTGTTTGAAAGTTTTAAAAAATCTCATACAAGTACGAAAGTACAAAATGTACAAAAGCTAGTTAACGAAGTGTGGCGAAATTACAAATTACAAGCAAAATCCGACAAGGAACTAGATATTATTGTATCTAAGAGAATCGAAGAAGAATTGCAAGCGGCGACTAAGAATAAATCCAATCTACTATTTTTTTTTCTCCGGTGAGTGACGAAATCATTTTAGGTACCTATGAGTACTAGAAATATTAGAAATCGCCAAAAAGTTTCTCTTTACTGATTAGAAAATATTATGGCCTATCTCAAAGTATAGAGGTAATATTAATTATATTATAGATTTATTTCTTATGATTGATTCCGTCAATTGGTCACAAAGTACAGATGTTAGTTTTATACATATATACAGAAAACTAACACCCTGTATTTTGTGACCGGAACGAATTGCTCGTTTAAGGGCCAATTTCACCAACAACAGTCCGTTATTCTCCATCTATAGGGTAACAGACCGTCAGATACAGCGAATGAGCTTCAAGTTCCAATCAACAAATTTTAGCAACCAATGTTGAAAACAAAATACTGTCAAAGTATGAGATGACAACTTGTCATTGAAACATCACCAGCTTATTGAATATTAAGAAATTACATATAATTCAGTCAAAATTTTAAGAAATGTTTGATTTTTGAATTAAATTCAGGTTTTAATTACTATTGTTGATTTTTTATTCATGTTTATATTATTTTCTTCAATTGATATGTGATACTGGGTGTTTTTTCCTATAAACCTCTTACAGATAGCCATTAAGCACCTACTTGATGACAGGCTCTACCAAAAGATATTGCTCGTTTCCAATCATTCATTCATTTACTTGCCGTTCATCAGAACCATTATGGCACCTTAGATTGATATTCCCACAAAACCATTCCGGTTTTTTGATATCCATACATCCATAAAGTTGAATATTTTTCGTTGTTCAGGAACTGAACAAACATCCACACTATATTCACAGTGATTAAGAAATTCCCAAATATATGCCCTAAAGCTACAAGCAAACCTAAAACCTGCAAAAAAAACTACACATTTGCCATATTTTTCTTTTTTCACGAGTACACATTCTAGATTATATTTATATTAGACATTATTTGAATACAGCTGATTATTGCATTTCAAGGAGTGACACATTTGTGTGGGATCTGTCAACTCTTGGTACCAGTCATAAAACATATACTCTGAAGGTTTAATTCCATGCTATTCAATGACAACTTGTGTGGTTGTGAGCGGCCATTTTTTGAGGATGCAACATGGTTGTCAGATTGTGCATTAATATCCCGTTTCACCCCCCTGGTCCCAGTGGAGTACGCTCCGCCAACTGTTGAAATATACTCTACTATGCTTTATAAGACTGTTCGTGTAATTTTTCCCAAAATCGTTGCACAACACTTGAAAAAATGAAAATTTAAAATTATTTCCATGACGCCCCAAAATAGCTGCGTCGGTACCTCGGATTATACATCTTGACAGTCCGAATGTTCGATACGATCCTATATTTAGAAGTATCGATACTTTTGCTTCCCATACCAGATATTTTGGATCGATATTTTAATATACGACACTTGGGTGTATCGATACATTTCACGAGTATCGTCATCTTTCGATCCGGACTGTGTCAGAAAGAGTGACTGCCATTTGGCTGCGACATTACCCTGCCAAATCAGACATATCTTTCATCATTTTCAAAGAAATTGTACAAAATCTTTAAATTTGTGAAGTTAGCGAGTTTCACTTCATATGTTGTTATCAGCATGCCCAAATCCTCAGTTGCTGCCGCGATATTCATCCCGACCACTGCATCCCCACGGCTAGGCGACCTGTATGTTAAATTTGTGTCGATAGGGCAGCGAGTTATGCTATAAATCATATGTCACAGTGTTTGTGCACTGATTGCAACGGTTAGATGATACCAAAAATATTTTCATAAATAGGAGATCTTTCCCATTCCGGATCGAACAAGCTACCAAAGATGCTTATAATCATGATACCTAGTAAATTTTCACGAAAAAATTCAAAACCAGCAAATGTAAAAGATTCATTTCGCACTCTCCACCACGAGACGTGATGGTCGTTAGACTTGGCAACCCTGCGAGTGACAGATAGATATCCCCGCCAGTGCACCAGTCAAAAAGACAAACCTTGAACATTACTAGTTTTTATTATTTTTGGACTTAAAAGACATTATTTGTGAGACATTTTTTATATGTTTTTGTCTATGTCCATAGTAATTATTGTATTACGCATCACGCAGATGTAGGGATTGACACGTCTTACACCTATTATCTGTGTTTTAGGATGGAGAGGACAATGTTTTTATTGCTTTGAAGAAATTCATTAACCCATAAATTAATAAATGATTACTATTATGATGTAAAGGAAGATGAGGAATTGGATGGAATGTATTTTATATTCTATTTTCTTGCAAAATACAGACAAATCCACACTATTCAACAGGTATGTAATGATAACTTTCAGTATATTGAAGTTGGTAAATTCGAGAGTGCCATGCATTAACAAACGTCCATATCTGCTGCCAAATTTAACAGCTAGAAGATCGACCTATTATTTGCCGCATTCCCATTCGCTGAGGGGGATAACGGATTGTTAAATGTAAACCTATAACATATATCAAAATACATGAAAGTGGTCCTGTTTTTTCTGTACAAAAGCATCATGTTGGAATCAAAAAGTGGTCTTGTTTATAATACAGTCGAATTTTCAAGATTTTATTTAATATTTCAATAGAAATCACTAATATTCAGAGACCTTTGACAGCTTCTGTCAAACTGCATTTCGATAAGGTATTTTCCCAATGGTCCATAATATTAATGTTGGTGAAATCGGCCCTAAACATATTAGATTTAAAGCCATAGGGTTTTGTATTTACCATATACAGGGTGACTTCGAAGTTGAGTCATTTATTTTAACAGTGAGTAGATCTGATCAAAAGAAATGTTTTTTCCTTTACCATTTTTCTGGTAAAATTAAAGTAACAAAGTTATAGCCCTTTGGAAGTTTGAGTACCGCCCTGTCTCAATAATAACATTATGTGCTCGTGTTTGGCGACAACGGATATAATCCGCCGTATCGGTTCATCGCATCGGAAACAAAAAAGCGAAAGAATTTGGAACGATGTTTTTACAATTATTTTATTCATTTGTATACAGTCAGTGTCAGTGAATAGTAGTGTCTGTTGCGTGGCTCAAACGAAATAAAAAATGGCACATGTTTATGCGGATCGGTTTCCCAATCGAGTGCAACCAACCCCTCGTGCCTTTGTTAATGTAGTACAACGGGCTCGTGAATCAGGTGATTTAAGACCACACAGGGGACTGCATGCCGGTGCTCCAAGACCTCACGATCAAATACAGGTCCGCACTGAAATACTTGTCGGGAGGATACTTTATAAAACAAGGTAAAAATTTTTTTTTATTTTTATTTTTATTTTTACACACATATTTTGGTTTATCTTCCTTCTACAATCATTATCTGAAAATTAATGACTCAACTTAAAAGTCACCCTGTATATTGCCATTCTTTGTATTTATGTAGCTTAATAAGAGAATCTTTAGCAGAAGCCACAGAAAGTTTTTATTTTTAGGCGACCTGTAAACCTGCAGAAAAAACACAAATTATACAGTCAGCTTCAAATATTAAAAAAGAGGAACAAGATAAAATAAAACCCGGTAATGAATCACAACAGCAATGCGAAATTAATGAAAATACAGATAAACAGAGAGCAAAACCTTCTCAGGAAGTTATGAAAAATAGGTTTGCTCTACTCGAAAAAAATCTGAATGCTTTGTATTCTGCCAGAGATACTATGCCAAGCCGTGCTGAAGTTGATAAACAGATCATTAAGTTGCGCGAGGAAATAAAAACAGTAAAACAGTCTTTAAACAGGAAGGTTCAAAACGCAGTTGCCCAGAAGAAACACAGGGATGGTATGAAAAGAAAGTTAGGAAGATATTTGTCATGAAAATGCAGAAATAAAAGACTATCTCTGAGGGATTGAGTGAGACGTCCTAATCTTGAAAGCAATCAACATTCACTATTGAAAACAATCGCGGATATAGCTTTATTTGGGAGTGCAGCAGAATCAATTCGCAGCCTAAAAACTCTTGATGAACTCACACAAGAGTTACGTAAAATAGGATTTGACATTAGTCGAAGTGGGACATATCTTCATTTGATTCCCAGAAAATCTAATTCTGCAGAGGGACGGAGACATGTATCGACAGTACCTGTTAAGCTCATTCGGGCTCAAACATCAATCCATTATTTAGAGAACATAGCATCCATACTTGGACCAGATCAAGTATTTTTCATATCTCAAGATGATAAAGCTCGAGTCCCTATTGGCGTAACTGCGGCAAATCAGCAAGCACCTCTTCTAATGCACATGGAATATAGAATCAAATTGCCTGATCACGATTGGGTAATCGCTGAGCGTCATAAATTAATACCATCTGTTTATGCTGGTATCAAAATCACTTCCAATATGCTAGGACAACCGCAAGCCGTTGGATATTCTGGACCAACATACATCGCTATTCGAAGTGGAAAGCATAGTTCAGCTACTGCTAATACTCATGCTCAGGATTTCGAGACGCTTCTCGAACTTGAAGAGTTTCGACCATTAGCTAAAACTGACTATGGACTAGTAAAACCAATGGTAATCATGGTGGTTGATGGAGTGCCAGATGAAAATCCACGTTCTCAAAAAGTCATAGCGTTTGCTATACAACACTTTAAGTGACATGATCTCGATGCATTGTTTTTAGCTACCATTGCTCCTGGAAGAAGTGCGTATAACAGAGTAGAGCGCAGAATGGCTCCTCTTAGTCGGGAACTGGCTGGTTTAATATTGCCTCATGACCATTTTGGGTCTCATTTGGATGAATGTGGTGTTACAATTGATGAACATTTAGAAAGATCTAATTTCGAATTTGCAGGAAATGTATTAGCTGAAGTATGGAGTTCAATGGAAATTGATGGCTATAATGTTAATGCAAAATATGTTGGGGCAGGTGAACAAGATCTTCCTGATTTTCCAGACATTAAATGGTATTCAGAACATGTGCGTGAGAGCCAATACTTGCTTCAAATTGTAAAATGTAGAAATACAGAATGCTGTCGCCCAAGAAGTGGCCTATTTAGATTACTAGACAATAGGTTTCTTCCACCACCTGCAAAAGTAAAACAAACAGTTGATGACTTGGTTTTGGATGAAGGAGGGCAATTTCTTAATCTTCCAGTCAATTTAGCTCTACGCTTCACTCAAATATTTCCTGCAAATGTCCTGCGATTATTTTTGTCCGACAGTAAAATTGAGGCTAACAAGTCGAACATGCAAAACGTGTGGTCTTTATCATGCTTCCGTCAAGTCACTAAATCGTCACATCGAAAATATCCATAAAAAAGTAAACACGGACACTGATAGGAAAGTTAGACCTGTAAGAGTCGCTGCTCGTCGTGCTAATGAACTGATTTGCATTATTCAAAATTTAGAGCACCATGATGTTGAATGGCTCGATGAGAACGACGTAGACATTCCAAAATCCGATGAAAGCGAGCAAACTCACAACACTGAGCAGCAATCGAAGCAATCCAATGTCATCGAAAACTTAGAATCAAGGATTCTGGTTTCATGGACTGAAGACTTAATTTGAATTTAATATACATGTACCAAAAATGTAAAATAAGTTTTTTATGTTAGTAAGATATAATATTTTTGTCCTTTACTCTATGTTTAATACCGTATCAGTAAAATATAATCTCTATCCTAAATCTATTTTCTTATTTTTTTTTAAATAATTATAATGTTATAATTATAATATTAAAAAAAACAATACATTAATTGACAAATGTTTACGTAAGCATGGGGGAGGGGCTAAGAGCTTTGCTTACTTTTGCTGACAAGGGGGATGGGGGGTAAATAATATTGTAATAAATCTGCTTACGTAATTCTTGAACGGCCCCAAAGATTCTTAGCAGACTCAAAAATTTTGAATTCTTGAGTGCTGGATTTTATTTATAAGGTGTGAGCTTCTCCAAATATACATAAACGAACATGATAGCATTCTTTTATTTGTTGGGGGAGGTGTCGAATCAGAAAAGCCAATTCCGTACGCCATTGGATGAATTAAGTAATTGCATTACATCGAATGTGTTAATTCTGCACCACAAGAATCGAAAAGAGATCAGAAATTGATTGATGAAATTTTTTTGGCTAACAGAACTTCGGTATTTTTAGACAGACGAAATTATTTATTGACGTATGGAATGCAATGAATATCCAGAATATCCAGTATGTAGGCGAGAGCTTTCATTATATGCCTGATTTATCGAATTTTCATTTATCATCCGGTTTCCGAATGATTTCACCATTTCAGCCTTGTTCGGGAAAGTGTATCAATTATATCGAGATCGCACTAAATGAATATGTTACCGGCAATCTGTATAATCCGGTAATCTACACAATACCTAGGTAATGTATAGAATACCTAATACGTGTACCTAATGTACTAAATATTATTTGTTTTATACTTTGCCTAGGTATTCTATACAATACCGAATGCGCAGCCGGTAATGTATAAAATTTTGACTAAGCAGTAGACCTACTGCCTATATTTCTACAGAATATTTTTGTTTTTTAAGTTTTTTATACGTATTACGTACGTACTTGTAAGCAAAGAAAATTACATTGTGTTACTTATAGCCAGAATAATTTTTAGTTTCGCGTTAATTTTACTGCGATTTTACTGTAGTAACAGAAAGGTGATTTTTTATATCCTTTGCGTAAGGCTCATTTTTAAGAAGCACTCTAATTGTTAATTTTTAATACAGTTGATGTTAAATAATATAACTTGTTTCATTTGTCAGTCATTTTATAGGTATGCCGGTTAACATTGATGAATTTAGACCAAGATCTACTTATTTTACACATTGCCGGTGGAACAGCAGGTACTCCATACAATCCCTAGGAATTGTATTCATTACCTTGGTAAAGCATGAAATGGATAATATAATTCATAATATTCATGCATTGCGTGGGCAACCCAGGTATTCTATACATTGCCTGAATTATACAGATTACCGGTAACATATATAATTTGTTAATGGATGAAGATCCGACAGGCGACGATACAAATAACTTGACAAGCACGTCTAAGGGCCGTATAGTAGGACGCCTTTATGGCCTCCTTGCTTTTCATAGTCTTTTCTCTCCTTCAGAAAGGCTGTGTTATTTCTATATTTCTACTGTTCCGTATCAGCGTCAGCGCTCTCCTATTGTGAGCTTATGTTTTCTTTTTGGATCTCAAGAAATTTTAGGATGATAAAACATCAAGTAGAATTCAAAAAGACAATATAACCTCAAAAAAGAGCGATTACACGGAACAGTAGAAATCTAGAAGTCTTTCTGAAGCACAAAAAAAACTATGAAAATCAAGGATCCCATAAAGGCGTCCTACAAGTAGGAACGACTGACGATGCGGCCCTAAGTCTAGGCGTAATGTACACAATTCTCTTCTGGCAAGTCAAAGTTGGATAATTACCAATTTGCATCTACAGCGAAGGGACTCGACTCTGTTGCCAGACACAATTTTGAATCAATTTTTGCGATTTTGGACTTTGATGGATTAACATTTGGAATAAGTCGAATACCCAGTTGTACGGTGTCAGCGTTGCCAGATAGGTCAGACAGAATTCCCTCAGAATAAGCACAAAAATCCCTCAGAATTGCTACTTATGCAAAAAAATCTCAAATCACAGTGCACTAATGGGAAGGGGTAGGGTTGCTGCCAAGAGTGGGGGAGTGGGTGGTTTCTATCTGCGAAACTTGTGATATTGCCTAAAAAGTCCCGAGAACATTATATCTCCCAAAAGCTCCCTGAGTAAAAATTCACAAAATTTGATGGAAAATCGCCCAATATGGCGACCCTGTACGGTGTCCCGAAATATAGGAGTAATGATGCGAGAGATCGAAAGCGTGGTAAGCTGTCCCTTTTTTGCCCCGTGCGAACGTAGCTTTATGCAGAAAGGTTCAAAGTTGTTGCAAAAGGAATAAGATTATTGATAAATATTTTTTTTGAATACATTTTCGCAACTACTACATTTGGATCTAGGAATGTCAGAGTTTATGCCATTGGAAAACACAAGACGTGGAAAATCTAAATCGAACGTGCTTCAGTAATTAATTTAATAAGTTCAATTAAATATGGTTACGATTACACAGGGTGTGTTTCAGAGCTCATATAAATAATTAGATATATCTAATTATTCATACTACACACACTAACGCGTTTATAAAATAACTATTGATTTGTGGAACCATTTAACTTCACAATTCCTATACAAACATGTAAAATTTACTTCAATAAACGACCTGCTCACATGAATGTAAATATGTATGCCTGAAGCAAACGCGCCCAACTGTTTAAATAGGTGTATCTGCAATCTGGCTCGATTATAAATGTTTTATTGTTGGCTTTGCTAATTCGCCGATAAGATTATAAACCAAGTTTATTGAAAGAATTTATTAAGATGGTTGTTTTTATTATCTGTCGACACGTGATTTTCGCGATTATATTAAGATTGCACGAAACATATTCAGATTTCAAGAAAAATGATGTGTGTTTATGAATCTTTATTTAAATAATTTAACACCAGCTGAAAAGTCCTTTCATATTTTTTGTGTCGCTGCCAGTTTCGAAAGATGAGTCACGATATTTTGAGTTGAATACCACGGTCTATTTCCTAATTAAAGTTTCTTACATGAAAACGAACGTAACGCGGGTTGGGCAGGCAGGAAAAGCCAGTTCGCTAGGACGTTACTTGCACAGTGCTAAGGCTGAGGCACAGAAATTTACAGCACAATACGAGGGATGTCTTTTAAGTTTTGCATATAGAAACATAGTAGGCCGCGCGGATCGAATTTCAGTACTGAATCTTAACCTCACTCTTTAGTAAAATTAAATTCAAAGTTTCACAACAATACGTGCAGTGTTCTCACTACAGTGAATTTTTAACTATCACCAAGTCATTACAAAAAAGGAACTCAACCGAGAACATTTTCGCGCCATAATTTATTACAACTTTCAGAGACAATTATCGCAACAAGAATGCCTTGCTGAGTTACTGTCTATTTTCGGCAACGAAGCGCCACATCAGTCGACAATTTCCCGTTGGTATGGAGAATTCAAACATGGACGGGTGAGTCTTAGCGACGATCCCAGGGTGGGTGCACCAAAAACGGCAGTCACCCAGGAAAACGTCGATGCTGTGCGCAAACTCATCATTGAATACAGAGATGTGACATATTGCGAGATTTAGGCGTCCAAGACAATGCAAGCTCGTACACAGCCCAAAAAACAAGGCAGTATTTAACGGAAGAAAACGTGGAATTATTGGACCATCCTCCATATAGTCCCGATCTAAGTCCTAACGATTTCTTTACTTTCCCGAAAATTAAAAACAGACTGCATGGTCAAAGGTTCCAGTCACCAGAAGAAGCAGTTGACGCATTCAAAAATGCCGCTTTGGATCTGCCAGCAAACGAGTGGAATAAGTGCTTCGAAAATTGGTTCGAGCGCATGATGTGTATTAATCTTCGTGGAGAATACTTCGAAAAACAATAAAGTCGTTTAAAACTACCTACCGTGCTGTTTATTTCCATATGCAAATTTTAAAAGATATCCCTCGTATGTTTTAGCAACAAATACTACTCTTCAAATACAAACAGGTGGTACGAACATACTAAGCGAGTCTCTAAAAATTTCTGATTAGCACATACAGAAAAATATTGAAATAATTTATTAAAACCACAGATCTCATTACTTATTTACCCACTTGTGGCGTTCATATGTCATTATAGATCGTACATATTATTTTATTTACCTTTTACGTCACTGCTGAATAAATGCACTGCATTTAAAAATTTAAAGTAATTTTGCCTTTGGGACCTTATTAAATGGATAATTAATATTGCATGAGTTTTACTATAATAACCGATTGACATCACCGCAGGATATTGAAAATTGATGATACAAAATTAACAG